AAGAAGCCTTCTCTCTCTTTTTTTGGTCTGTTGTATTCTTTCTGGTAAACATGAAAATGCTTTTGTTTTAGAGTGGTTAACACAGCCCCAAGCAGTGTTGCATTTCTGTTGTAGAAATCGTCAGTGATCGTGTTTCTCAGGGGAGACTTTATGTAAAGGTGAGTATATACCTTTAGGAAAAAAAGAAAGGTGTTTTCCTGTCAGGAAAAGTAACCATCAAGGAAAGGAACCAAGTGATGGTTATATTGTCTTTTCCTTCCCTCTGCACTAAGCTGTTGTGATGGATATGCAGTACGCAGGTGACGAGGGGGGCTTGGTTACTGTCCCGCCAGCTCCAGACAGAAGTTTCTCCCTGAAAACTCACTGCCAGGAGGCAGCACTTCACCCACATACGGGAGGCCCTGCAGCAGTGCTTTTATTTTAAAGATTTTTTTTTTTTTAAAGGTCAAGTCTTTTATTGATTTATTTATTCTTAGCCGCGTTGCATCTTCGTTGCTGCGCACGCGCGGGCTTTCTCTAGTTGTGGCGAGCGGGGGCTACTCCTCGTTGCAGTGCACGGGCTTCTCATGGCAGTGGCTTCTCCCGTTGCGGAGCACGGGCTCTAGGTGCGCGGGTTTCAGTAGTTGTGGCATGTAGGCTCAGTAGTTGTGGCTCACGGGCTCTAGAGCACAGGCTTCAGTAGTTGTGGCATGTAGGCTCAGTAGTTGTGGCTCGCGGGCTCTAAGCGCGTGGGCTTCAGTAGTTGTGGCTTGAGGGCTCAGTAGTTGTGGCTCACGGGCTCTAGAGCGCGGGCCCAGTAGTTGTGGCTCACAGGCTTAGTTGCTCTGTGGCATGTGGGATCTTCCTAGACCAGGGATTGAACCCGTATTCCCTGCAATGGCAGGCGGATTCTTAACCACTGTGCCACCAGGGACGTCCCAGTGCTTTTAGTTTAAATGCTGTTTTATCTTGGGTAATAGGTGTAAGCAACACTAAGGAGGGGAGGAATCTTTTTTAAGGAAGCATTTGCCTTTATAAAATTACAGCCGTGTTGGCTGCAGCATCATCAGAATTCCAGCTGGCTATTGATTGCAAATGTAAAGTTTTGTTTTTCAGAGTTCTGATCAGGTGAGAACAGACAACCATAGCTGGAGGCATCAGACATTGTTGCTGGAAGTTTTGACTCAAATGTGTTTTGATTTTTATGTGTGAAGCATTGGAGACCGAGGGAGGACCTGGACTGTGAATGAAAGTTCCTTATCTCAGAAGAGCTGCCGTCTGTGGAGAGGCTGAGAGGAAGACACCTTAGGAAGGGGCCCAGGCACTGCTGGCGCTTCCACTTTATAGTTGAGGGCATCCGAGCTCACGTGGGTGATGAAGACTCCCTCAGAGGTGCAGCTCTTCTGCCGAGTTGCCTGCTCTCCTGTGCCCTGCTGTGCCTCCCCCGGGTGTCCCCCTGTGCTGGGCTGGGCTCCGTGGGGAGTGGGGGCCATGAGGACACCTGCAGCTGAGTACGTGCTGTCCAGGTCTCCAGCCCCTCTGAACCTTCGCTCTCACTCAGCTGTCCACTTGTTTCTTCTGGGGCTCCTCTGGTGCCTGCAGCCCGCCACTTGGTGGCTGTGTGATTGTAGCTCATGTGCATAGCCTCTCTGGACCTCCTTTTTCTTTTTTCCCCTGTAGAGTGGGGATGGTGGTAGTACCTAACCCTTAGTTTGGGGAATTAAATGCTGAACCGTCAGTATCTGGCACATGATAGACCATAATATATAATAGTTACAGTTATTACTGTGTGTTAGTTTGGTCACTACATGCCCAATTTTTAGGTTCAGGAGCTTGATCTTAGCAGTCTTCTCAGATTTGATAAAATTCTGTGGACTTATTCACACCAGCCAAAATTAGCTGAATAATCGAACAGAATGCTAATGTGTTCATTTATTAAGGGACCACCCCAGTAACGACTCTACTCACATGTTCCTGTGTGACGTCAAGGTCACCAGGCAAACTAAATTAATAGTTATTTATTAATACTTATTTAGTGCAAGTGAAATCAAATCAAAGGTAGTTTTTATTGGCTTACGTTATTTAGGCTCGACAGACCTGGAGAATTTTTTCTTTAAAAACATCAATAGGAATATTATTACTTCTCTGTAGACAGCTGTTGCTTGCTGGAGACCTGTATCTGTAACCTTGGGTTTACTCTATTTTAAAAAAAATCTTTTATCTCAACATTTTATGTAAGATCAGTAGCTGAACCACATTAATAATGGAGGGTTAATATTTGTAGTTTTCTTTGTACCTATAAAGGGTAGTAATCTGTACGTGAGGGACTTTGATGAGGGTGACGAAGGATACGGGGGGCTGTCTCCAGGCTTGCCTCCATCTAGTCATTCTAGATGCTTTCCTTTGTTCTTGCCCAGCTGGGGTGGGCAGCCCCTCTCAGCCACAGATGCTGCCTCTGTTCCTTCAATATCTGGTAGTTGGGAATTACTTGTTGGCAGTTCTCAGAGAAGCTGGTGCTTTCGTGTCTTTTGGGACCTGTAGGTGTATCTAGCTGTTTTATTCTCATCACAAATGATGTATTTAGAACGACCCAGTTATCAAAACAATTGAGTGCTACGGAGGGTAATTTAGAGAGGTATAAGGGTGGGCCTTCAGAGGACACTGCTGGGTGCAGCGTAAAGATGATTTCAGGGCGGCGGTGGTGAAAGGAGTGGAATTCTGGGATAAAAATGTGATTCCCATAATAAAAACTTAAATGTATGTAACCAAATTTCCAGACTAAATGTTGTTTTCTGAGGTGCTGTCTTTGGGGCCTGTGGAGGAGGTTGGTCGGTAGGAAGAGTGAAACCTGGAATGGGGGTCCCTGAGTGATTTCACAAGGCTGGGCCCCTGGGGGGTCCTGGGGCCAAGGGAGCCATGTAGAGAGTGTCGAGCACCGTGCCTGGGGCAGATGCATGCTGAGTGAGCCTTGGCTGTTACTGGTGTTGACCCGAACCTGCGTACAGATTCTGAGTTGAGGGGCATCTCTCCCGTGCATCCTTACTTACGGTTTTTAGGGTTGCCAGACTAACATCGAGATGGAGATATTTATTTATTTATTGATTGATTGATTGATTGATTGATTGCTGTACGCGGGCCTATCACTGTTGTGGCCTCTCCCGTTGCGGAGCTCAGGCTCTGGACGGACGCGCAGGCTCAGCGGCCATGGCTCACGGGCCCAGCCGCTCCGCGGCATGTGGGATCTTCCCGGACCGGGGCACGAACCCACGTCCCCTGCATAGGCAGGCGGACTCTCAACCACTGCGCCCCCAGGGAAGCCCCGGAGATATTTATTTTTAAAGGATATCAGCCTAATTTTTTTTGCTGCTTGACCCAAGCCAGACAAAGAAGACTCCTAATTCATTAAGCTTTCTCAGCTCTCACCCCGTAACCGTGGCCCTGCTTCATCCCAGAGTCTGTGGTTCAGTGGTGTTATTCTGACACACATGCTCACTTCCCCGGGGCAGGGGGAACAGGGAGGGCGGGTGGCCCGGTGGGCAGGGTCTGGGCGAGCACAGTAAAAGCTTTGTCGCTAGAAAGGTGCCTTATAGTCTCATTTTTCCAGTTTAACTTTCGAATGGTTACACCATTAACCCCATTCCATCAATAATATTCCATTTGCCTTACTTTTCTTCAAGTAAATACTTGCCAGTTCATAATTTTCAGTGAAGGTTAGGCTAGTGGACTGGGACGTGGGCAGAAGCTTGACTGCGATAGTCTCTGGGCTGCAGGAGAAACTTGACGTCTGAGAACGAAAGCCACTGCGAGGAAGAAAGCGAGGACTGATTTATCTGACTGGGTTTTTTTTTTTTTTTTTTTTAACATCTTTATTGGGGTATAATTGCTTTACAATGGTGTGTTAGTTTCTGCTTTATAACAGAGTGACTGACTGGGTTTTAACAAGATTTTGGATGGATTCTGGATACATTTGGAGGTGGAGAGACTCGATGTGTCAGACGTGGCGGGGAGAGAAAGGCGGCCGTTGAAGAGCAGCCCGGCCGAGGCTTTTTGCCGCAGGAGGCCAAGCACAGAACCTCGGGGTCGGGTCGCAAGTGCTCCTCCGGAGTTGGCGGGGAGCTGTGCTTTGTTCTGTGTTCAAGGGAGTAATGGGGTGCACGGGAACCCTGGACCTCACCCTCTTGCATCCCCAGATAAAGTGTAACCTGCCAAACAAACACGGATTCTCTTTGATGCGGTGGTTCCCAGTCTGGGATGTGAATTGCTGAGTCTTATTTTTACGGTGATAGCAAAGGGCCTGAATAACCATCTTGTAATTGATTGAAAAGAAAAAAAAAAAGGAAGCCATGGGAAGGAGCCTTCCACAGTCGCATAGGCTTCAGCCTGCTTGCAGTAGTCTTTGGTTGACATTCTGTCAGATTTTTCTCTAGAAGTAAGGTTTTAAGAAAAATCTAAATTGTGTCTGTTGATTTGGGGCAAGTAGTTCATACTGAAAATTACTTACAATTACATTCCGCTAGCGTTGAGTTTCCATTTATTCACATTCATGGTAAGATTGGGGTTAACATTTCCCCTTTGCTTTTAGAACAGTCTCTTCATTTAGGCTTTGTAATCTCAGGATGGGATGGCACCTCAGGGGCAGATAGGCGTGGACTTCAAAGTTCAGTGGATCTGGGTTTAATTCTGGATTTGCTGCATAACTGCTTGAGCAAGATACTCAAACTTCGTGAGTTTTAATGACCAAATCTTGAGAATTGGGTTTGATCATAGTATCTCCTTCACTGGGTTGTTATAAAGACATGATAAAACGATGCCTGTCCAGGTGTGCTTGGCATTTGCTGAAGGCTCTGACGTCAGGTGCTCTACAGCCATTACCTTATACTTGAGACACGTAAGAAGGAGACAGATTGTAAATAACCTGTCCCAAGTCACATAATTAAATTTGAAGACATCATGTTAGGATGTTGTTTTTCCAAAAATGTATCATTTTGTTTTCCTTTTAGGATTTGGAGTTCCATGGAGTGATGAGATTTTATTTTCAAGATAAAGCTGCTGGGAACTTTGCAACAAAATGTATCCGGGTCTCTAGTACCGCCACCACTCAGGATGTGCTGGAAACGCTCGCGGAGAAATTCCGCCCGGACATGCGCATGTTGTCATCACCCAAGTACTCCCTGTACGAAGTGCATGTCAGCGGAGGTCAGTGGACACAGACGGGGCTTGTCGGCCATGTGTGCTCATCTTGGGACTATCACAGTCACTTGTCCCAGGGGCCCTGCTTTACTGCTGACCCCCTCTTTCTTTTTCTGGAGGGACCGGGGAGGCAGTTAACAGGTTGGCAAAACTCGAGTATGTCTGCGAAATGTCCTCGTAAGTTCCTAGTAGGTGCATTTGTTGCGAGTTAGAATGAATAGATTCGTTTTACGTATGCTCACTTCTCCAAAGATAAGTCGCATAATGTCTCATAATTGAAATTCTCCAGCAGATCTGGCACATACGTTGATGGTACAGTAAAAGCTGCTTAATTCTGGAGCAGTATTCATGTAACTCTCCTGCATAGATTATAATATCACAATTAACGATAACCCAGTGTTTTGTGAGTACGGTATTTTATGAGTAAAACCCAGTGTCTTATCATGCTTGCTGTAATACTTTTGTAATGTGAAACAGTAACGTTGTTCTTTGGGAACAATTAGGGCATCTTGAGGAAACTCTCTTATGTAGTTAGTAGTTTCTCCTTGTTTTAAGATTTGAAATTTCTGAAAGTATCCTATATATCACATGGCAATTGATGTTGAACTGATTAGAAATGTAGAAATTTATAAAATTTTTTATGAGTGCTTTTGAGGTACCGAGTCACCTGTTTAAAAAAAAAAATTCCAGTTAATGCAGTAAACAAAGGATTGTATATAGTACAAGCCCAATTTGAATACCTGTTTAAGTTTCAGCCACAAAACCTGTTTGAACATAATTTATTTTTCTTATCTTCAAAAGTACAGCTTTCTTTGTACATTTGAAATTGGGCTAAAATTTTTGTAGTGTGTGGAATTCAGGTGTCACCAAATGCTACCAGTATTATATTAGGTAGGCTGTACTTGTTTATCACTCTTTTAAGGTTACTAGGGTATCACCTACATAAATAATACCCAAACTAAATTTGACAGTAGCGGATGGTCTCAATTTTGGACGTTTTTTTGAGGTTGAATTCTCCTTTTACCTCAGAATCTTTTTAAATAGGTTACAAAGAGGAATAAAGTATTTCTCACTTTCAGCCCTCTTCTCGCTGCACCATTGGGTCATTTGAATGCTGCCAAGTGAGGTCTTTGAAATGCTATCTAAGATTGGGATTTGAGATCTAAAAATGGAATGGGTTTGATTTTTTTTTTTTAAAGAACACTTTTTCTTTAAACTTTCTTTGCTAGATTTGTTTTTAATTAAAAAGTAAAATATGTTACTTGTAAGCGACGAAAACACAAGGAAGGTGTGTAAAGAAGGAAGTGTTCCCCATCGCCCCCCGCCCCTGTAGTGACCACTAGGCTGGCCTGGCCGTGTCCTGCACCTTCATACCCCGCCAGGGTCTCAGAGAGGAGCAGACCCTGGCGTGCAGGTTCTCATAATCTCTTTCGGGTCACGGAGCCCTTAGTGTGTCAGTAATTTTTTTAGTGGCATCCCTAGGCCAAAGGAAATACCTAACAGTTCATTTTACTGCATAGATTCAGACAGGTTCATCAGGATTTATGCTTTAACAGCTTGGTGGATGTTTGAAAAAATAGTACGGATCAGATGAAAGGAAAACTGAAAATTTCATTCCGTTCTTAATCACAGTTGGCTCCCTGACGGGGCACGTGTGTCTCCTGGGCCCTGCCCAGCGCCTGGGTGGGGGCAGTGCCCTCCTTTCCTCTTCACATTGGTTTGCGGGCCGCGCTTGTTTCTACTGCGCTGTGGAAAGCCTGACGTGACCCTGGTGGGACAGTGCGCAACCTGGTGGGGACCAGCAGCTCCTGCCGCATCCGGCAGCTCGTTTCGCTGGAAATGTAACGTGCTCCTCAGTGAGCCGCTGGACACCACAGCTGCTGTGTGAACCAGAGAGCGCTGGCCCAGCACCATGGAAACGCCACTCTCAGCCCTTCTCTGCATTAGGGTTCCTTGTGTGAAATCAACTGGAAAAGTAAAAAGGATTCTGCTCTTCTAACGTAAGGCAGAAGATACCTTAAGTTATAAAGTTGTAGCAGGGCCCTAATTATATTTGCATGCAGTAGTTAGGCACGTATGCTTTAGAACAGCTCACCTTGTTTTTGTTTTATGATTTAGACTTAATTGTTCTTAAGATTGGTTCTCTAAAAAACATGCCATGAGGGATTTTGATCTTGTGAAGATTCTGCAACACGAACAACTTGGTAATTTTGGTTTTGCAGCAGGA